TCCAGTCCTATGTATGTGTATGTATCAATGACTCTCCAGTCCTATGTATGTGTGTATCAATGGAACTGAAGTTCAATTTTTAGATTGAACTGCTCATATATATATATATATATATATATATATATATAAAGAGAGAGAAAGATTTCTATGCTTCCTCTACATCATAGAAGTTCTATCCTCCTCTTACCATCCAGCCGTTCAATTTTGATCAAGAGAGCCACTACCGTTTGATCTTAGATCCGACGTCTCAAAGTATTTTATTTTTAGTTTTTTTTATAAAAATTATATGAAAATGAAATTTGGTACGTGCCATCGTCTCACTGGAACGCACCTATAAAAAATATGAAAAATAATTTTTCGATAAAATATAATGATCAAAATACCCCTTGAAAATTTCAAAGGTATTTTGGTTATTTTATTTTAATAAAAATATTTTTTTATATATTTTTTGCTAGTGAAAGTTTAATAGAGGAATAGACGTCTAAAATTTGGTACCAAAATAGTTTATAGAAAAAAAATTAAAAATAAAATAGTGTAAAAACATGATATTGTGATTGGGGCATTCTTAGCCCTCCATGTAGAATGGACAGTCGAATAAGAGGGAGGATAGAACTTCCATGATGTAGGGGAAACATAAAAAACTTGCCCATATATATAGGTTTTATCTAGAGTTAACAACCCCTCAAAATATAAAGGTTAAAGTTAGAAGGGGTTGTGATGGGTGTATTTATAAAAAAGATCATTATTTTTTTAAAAAAATTATTTTAATAGGTAACTTAACTATTAAGCAAAAGTAAATTTGAAAGTTTAATAAAAGTACAATGGCATTTTAGAAGTTAGTGTCCTAGAATTTTATTTGTAGAATGCCATTATTTTTTAGTAAAAATTTCAACTTTACTTTTTATGGAGATGACAAAAATAACTCTTATCCTGTAGTAACATTACAAAATTGCTCTTACTTAAACATGAAGATATCATAAAAAATAATTTTTTTTTTAAAAAAATAGACTACAAAATTTGTAAATCCACCACTCACAACTCTGTCTATTTTTAACCATTGTAATTTGAAGGATTGTGAAGTTGAGATTATATATATTTATTACACGATAAAAACATTTATTACTCGATAATAATCTTAAAAAAAAATCTAAAACGGTAAATTTTAATAATAAAAAAAAAAATCAAATGAAAGATCTCTTTCTGATCGGCAACATTACTGAAAAGGTCGCAAAAATCTATCATTTTATTATATTTGAACATAATGATGAACCTTAAATATAGAAATTTAAAAACTAATACTCGTAGCCTAAGAAATATGATGAAAATTTGTCATTTTAATTTTAATTTTTGAGTGAGGTTTAAAACTTACTCAAATTTTCATTAGAATATCTAAAGGGTGCGGTTTTTATAGAGCCGATGCTCTAAACAAGCAAATTAAAGCCCCACCTTCATATAGTGTAGAGAAATGTAGTTTCAATACTAGAAATCATTGTGATAGCGTTAAAATATATTTTCTTCTTTAATTATAAAATTTCATGCTTAAAAAATAATGTATATCGAGCAGATCTATAAAAACTTGAAAATCTACAAAATTGACGGTCCAAAAATACATTACAAGATGCACTATTTACAAAACTTGAAATCCATTTTTTTCTCATGTCCATGCATATTGATGTCAAGATGATCAATTTAAAGATATTTAGGCATTAAAACAACCTCTTTAGTAAAACTTTTGAGGGGCGCTCTAATTGGATTGTTTAGAACCTCGGCTCTATAAAAACTTTTTCGATATCTATATAGGGTCGGATTTAAAGACTTCACTAAATAAAAGGCTATGGAAGGGAACATATGTTTATTCCATGACATAAAATATTATACAAATTTCATACAATCATTTTTCAATAAATCTTTATAAATACTTAGTGAAAAAGACCCAAGTGATGATATATCGATCAAATTTGTCAACAATAACATTACAATATCAATACTTGTCCGTAGGGTTTTAGAAAATACCAATCCAGATCGGAATCACCCCATTTGGGCATGAATCGATAAGACATGCCCAGTTCTCACCATATATCAGGAACCATCCCTTTCGACCCCACCTTTTATTTTTATTATTTTTCAATTTTTATTTTATAATCACTTTTTTTTATTTTATTGGGCAGTATATTAGGCCCGAGCACATATACAAGCTTGTTTTTTGGATCGCCCATCCATGTTTTAAAGGAAAATGTTTCTACATGACCTCAACAATGTATAAGTTAAACATGACCCTACTTAGCCATTTGATCTGAATCAAATGGCTATGATTGTATATATCACAATTTCACACCGAACACTGTTTTATTTTTCTTTTCTTTTTACCACCCAATATCTTTTTATGAAATTTTGTACACTCCATCATAAAATTAAGGCGGATCTAAAAAAAAAAATATTTTGATAAAAATAAATGACCAAAATGCTCCTTTAATTTTCAAGGGGTATTTTGGTAATTTTTATCACCAAAAATATTTTTTTATTATTTTTATCATGTGCATCCATATCAGATCCATGCATGCCCTAAATTTTGCTTCAAGATTATTTTAAAAAAAATTAAACCATTAATTGTTTGATCAAGATCTGACGTTTAAAAACTAGCTTGTAGCATTGACTCAAACCATCTCCGCCATCTACTCACATCTTAAGCTCACAAGTACTTGTAACCATCAGACGTGAAATCTAATAGTTTGGGTGAGTCACATAATTCAAAAAAATTTCTTCTAAATTTTAAATTTTACCAAATAAATAAATCCAGCTACCCAATTTCACATCTCAAAACCAATTGTGACCACCCAAAAGTAAATGGTCTGATAAATTTAGAGGTGGTTATAACCTTATAAATACCATAAAGAAAATATAATACAAGGTTTAAAATTACCACTACACTCCCAACGAGAGCTTACAAGCTCCATCCGGTTACTTTAAAATTTTCACTGGTGAGATACAGATGTCATTTTATTATTTGTCAGGGCAATCAATCAGTGACGTGTCAAGGTCGGGAGACGTCACATGCAGTGTAAAACACAGTAGATGTCACCTAAAGTGGAGCAGGAATATTAACGTACTAACGTCTAAACCCTAATTCTTACCCCCCATCTTAATCTAATTGCCTGTACGTTGTTTACTTGCTATGGAGCGTTATGAGGGATCACTACTTTCGAGGAGTATCATTGATATAAGAATTGGGATACGAGGGCATTTTTGGTATTTGAGGTTAACGTACGCACGCACTCGAGGACAATTTGACCAGGCAGGGGGAGAAAACTACAAAAATTAAGGCATGAGATAAAGGCAGTATGCACAATCAATGCCCCCACCACCCTAAATTTCAAAGCCCACCCTCCCTTTTAAAAGCATCACCTCCCCTTCCCTTATCTCTCTAAAGCCCACTCCTCTCTCTCTCTCTCTCTTTTCAAGTGTTCATAAATTAGAAAATTTTATTATTGATCATCTCAATTTCAAGATATATAAATATATTAAAAAATAAATAAAAAAATAATACATTTCCAAATAAATTATTTTAGTCTATTTTTAAAATGTTCAAGTATTACTAAATCTACTCATTTTATATTATTTTAAAATTTTAAAAATTCTTAATTAAAGTTGAACATAAATTTTTCAAGCCAGTGTAAAATTTCCCAGGCGAAACTACATCTTCTTCTTAGATGTATGCCTTGCTTGTATAGTATAAGTTGGGCCTCGCATACAAACCCCAACTTATTTTGGATGACCAAAATACCCAACAATGATTTTTTTACATTAAATTCCTCCGGTTTTTTATATTGAAGCTATGCTACTGTATTAGCCGAATCAGTAAGACCCTCATAAGCCAAATGCGGAGTTAAGTTAATATTTCTTTAACCTTCCAATCGAGATTAATTAAATAGCTATTGTCTCCATCTCGGATTCAAATCTTAGAAATATATTCCAATTGAATTACATGTCGAGATGGCGTTTGTCCGCATTCCCAAAACTGAATTTGGGGCGAGATTTTAGCGCTCTCACTCTACTGGTTTTCATGGGTATCATCCACAATTCCATAAAGCTTAGAAGAATAGAAGTGATGCCATTAAAATTATGAACCATTTTTATTCATGACATTGTTGCAACATCCTCTCTCTTTCTCTAACCAGGAACCACCAGACATCGAAGTCTGGACTACAAAGATCCATTCTCATAGCTTCCAATATGTGTATATATAGATTCATATTTACACACACTGTCTCTCCCCAGATAACCATCTCTCTCTCTCTCTCTCTCTCTCTCTCTCTCTCTCTACTACTACTACTACTACTACTACTACTACTACTACTACTACTACTACTACTACTACTACGTACGTACGTACGTACGTACGTACGTACGTACGTACGTACGTAACGTAACGTAAACGAACGTAAACGTAAACGTAAGTAAACGTAAGTAA